AATGCCCCTTTGGACGGAATGTAAAATTTTATATTTATTTTTTTAGTCCAAAGGGGCAATTTGCCCTGAAGGACTATTAATTTCGTTTTGGCATTTTGCTTTGAAAACTTTAAAAGGCTGTATCACTTTTCAAATTGTTGCCACCATATATTATCGCACTGTCTTATATTTAAAGAAATTAAATAATTAAAAATCTGCATAAATGTATGTATGTTTCTCGCATTGTTATAAAAACAATGGTACCTAGAGCCATCAAAATTTGAATAACATAAAGTTCCATAGAATATGTACATGTAGAAGCCCTAATTTGAATTTGAAATTTGTTTTATTATCGATTTCATGTTTTGTAACACTTCAACGAATTTTTTATTAAAAAAAAAGATTTCAAAACTACCAATGGCAACATCGTATGAAAAAATTTTTTATCTCCAGCACGTGAGACTCTGTATCAGAAATTTTAAAGATATTCTCATTTTAAAATTAATTTGCAATATTGCTGTTGAACTTAATTTTATAGTTTGAGTACATAGTTAATTTTATTTTTTTTAGAGGGGGAAGGACACTACATTTTTAAAACAGCAATAAATCTTCTTTCATTGAAAGCAAACACTATATTTCCATAGAGATAACTGTATGTATAAATGAAAGAAATGCGGTATTATAAAAGCAATAAATATTCATGACCATATATAGAGTACAGAGTCTGATATCCAGGCTTGTTGGGATCTCGGCGATTCTGGACATGGGATTTTTCCACGTATAATATTAATTTAAATCCAGTATGACAACATATAGAAATTATAAAATTAAAAATATGGAACAGTAATTTCTGAAAGAATAAATCATTTATGAACTTCGAGAATCAAAATTTAACATCCCAAAAAAACCCTCAATATTTTTTGGCTTTATTAAACACTTCTTTCACTGTAAGTTATTTAATTTGCTTCATTTTTGTTCTAATAATTTTTCTTTAATGCCATACCTGCCAACCTCTAAAGATAAAAATTCAGATTTCTCCCCCAAATTCAGAACACGAAGAATTAATATCATGCTTTGATATTAAAAAATGAACAATTTTATACAAATAGAAAAAAGAAAATTGTACTTACATTAGTAAATCTCAATTAAATAGTAACTAAAAAATTTATTAGGAAACATAAAACAAGAACTTAATGTTACACAAAAAAGTTATTGCAATGAATTTAGAGTGCATTTTTTGGCTTTAGCAAAAATTCTTTGGAAAATTTCCTGTCATAAAAATTAGTTTCCTCATAACATTTAGCAATTAAAATGTTTTGGTGAAATTTTTTGGTGAAATTGAAGAACGAAACATAGTTTTGTTTTTCTTTACAACACTGAAGACTCTCTCGCACTCAGCATTACTGTGTGGAATTACGAGAATAGCACATAAAACTCTTGCTAGTCTATCATATTTTGGTGTTCCATCAGCTCTTTTTATTCTTTTTAAAGTACCAACGAGGACATCAAGTCTATCTTCTCCAGAACTGCAAAGTCTTCAAACTGTGCAGCAGAAAATTGGTTCCGTAGTTCATCTAAAGCATCATTATTGCATTCATTTTCTTTAATTGCTAACAAATATGGAAATTTATCAATAAAAAAACTAATCTTTTGAAAAGATGAATTTTCAATTTGTTTCAAATTTGCCACTTCAGCATCTAAAAGAACTTCATTTTGCAAAGGAAACTTCCTTACAATGTAATCACAGGCTGAGGAAAAGTACTTTCTAAAGCATTGAAAAAAATTTTTTTTCTCATGATCTTTCAAAGAATTTACAAGTTCCCTGGTTTGATTTCCAATTGTAAGATCATTGTCATCCTTTTGATTTGCCAAACTATTATAGGCAACACGAATCAACACACTGTTTTTCACAACGGACGGTTTTACAAACTTAGTATAAAGTTCTTTCAAAAGATCATCAAGAATTTGGATAAGCAGGGAAGATTTTGGCGAAGATGATTGTAGAAGGGTATTTACACTTTCAAAAATCTTAATGGTACTTAACACAAAACTACAATATGCTTTGTTCAAATCCGAAGAAAGAAGATAGAAAATCCTTTCCTCCCAGCTAATAGAAGACTGTTTCTTCTTCCCTTCAACTTCTTTAATAAAGTTGACCTTTGAGGAGTCTTCTAAGCATTTTCTTTTTAAAGGTTTGATTAGAAGCAAAGTTGATTTTCGGAATCTTATATGCCAACAAATTTGATGGGATCTATGGTTTCGTTTTGGTCTCTTCGTGGAAATATTTTAGCAATGCATCCCACTGTTCAATAAACCTTCCTAGCACTCTGCCTAAGGATAACCATCTCGTGCATACATGTTTCAGAATTTTTCTCGTTTCACCAGAGCACAGTTCTTCGAAATTCTTTAGGTTTTCTTTCCTTTTTACACTTTTTTCCAGATATAAAAACACATCAATCAGAAGCTGGTCAATATTTAATGGTAAAGCAGCTGCAGCTTTTTCTGCTGTCAAATTAATTAAGTGGCATGGGCATCCAATAACAATTAATTCATTTGTTCTTTTTGAGGAAAGAGGCTACACCCTTTTTGTCACCCACCATGACATGAGCATTATCTGCATCAAATGAAATGCAGTTTGATATTGGTATGTTAAGTTGTTTCAACTCATTAATTACCAAGGAGGCAATTTCCCCCGTAGTGTCTCCATTTAACAAAAGAATTGGAAGACGCAAAAGATGAGTTTTCATTTCATTAGAAACATCACAGAAATATGTGACAACGATGGGGTAAAGCTTCCATTCGCTGTCGTTGTTGCCATCGATTGACACCGAAAATGCTGAATTCTGGAGTGCAGCTGTTGTTTTACTTTGTGCATTGCAAGCAATTTCGTTCACAATAGAAGATGTTTTTGTGCGAGCACAAGCATATTTCTGAGCAATCTTGGGGTCGGGAAACATCCGTCTGAAAAGTTGACCGGCGTGATCGGCAGCGCTTAGCGGCACGTTGTGTTCGATGAGGAATGCAGTAAACAAACACTCTGCCAAAATGACATCGGCATCTGAATTCGTAGCTGAATTTGAAAAAAAATCATCCACTTTCTTTGATGTTGTCGACGCCGAAGCATTAACTTCATGCTTCTTAGACTTAACATGCTTCACAATGTCACTTCTTCCAACGTGACTTATTATGAAGTCACACACTCACACGTTGCAAAATGCATAGTTATTTCCTTTGAAGGATTCTTTAATTGTTGGAAATTCGGCTTTCTAGGTAGGCCGAAAATATTGAAAATATGGTTTTCTTGAAATCATTTCGTAACAACAACGTATTAAGAAAATTCGTAGCACGTGCAAACAAAAAAAATGCGACAATCCATGCTCGCTGAGTCCGAGCTGAGTAATTCCCTTGCTGTTGAAACAACGCGAAAAAAATAATCTGGCGCCCACAAAGAAAACAGTGGGAGAAACAAGTTCAGCGCATTGGATTGGCTGGTTAAGTGGCGAGTTGGGAGATACCGCAGGTTACTGGATTCGAAGTTGTCAGTAGTTGGCGGTAAAACACGATGCAATTGGCGAAAATCGCTGAATTGGTGAAAAATTCTAAAATTTCGACATAAATCACTAAAAACACTTGAAAAAGGAAAAAAATCGTAAAAAATGGATTACAATCGTAAAATCTTAAAGACAAACGCTTTTCCGTAAAAATTATGAAAAATTCGTAATGCTATAGATGCATATATTTTCTTGTTCAATTACAAAGTTTCCTTGTTCAAGTTCTGTAATTGCAGTGTCAAGAATTCCCACTAAATTGTCAACAGAAACCTTTTCATTCACAACAACCTCTCTATAATGTTGTTCACTATCGGTAGAGATATTTTCTGGATTTAGAACCATACCATAAATTTCAATATCTATTAGTTGATAAATGATTAGGGCATTGTCATCACAGTGAAAAACTTCTGTTTTTTATTACCACTTTTTCATTTTAATTTAAAAATTCCATCAATTAGAAAATTTCACTTTTTGGGGGGAGGGGAATATCGGAACATCTAATTCACGGCAATTATCATAAAGCTTAACTAGCGCCATTACACTACTGGTGGTGTTCATGAGCTTGGCGACTAAAAATATGTTCTGCTGAATTTTGTCTTCCTTCTGTCGCACACTGATGAACTTAATCTTGAATTATATTAATTATTTCTTATACTTAAGCCTATTTCTCGCACATGCTTAAGGCTTATCCGAGTCACAAATAAATAAATTTTCACATATACTTAAAGCTTATCCAGGGGCGGTGCTAGATATTTTGCAGCTCACTGTAATCTATGCTAGTCCAAAATTCTGCAGCTTCCTAAAATTCTCAAAATTTTGCCATCCCTTAATTTTGTTGCTCAGTGCTACACTAAATTCTAAAAATTTTGCCTTCCCTAACTCTATTGCCTCATGTGAGTGTACCAACTCTGACACTGATCTAGGTCAACAAATTCAGTTTCCCCAATTCAAGTAGTACAAAAAGTAATCTTTTGACCTATTTGTATCATTCACAAAATCTATATTTGCCCATGGAAAGAAATTCCTGCTGATTTTCTCCTTGTCAGCACACTTAGCACTTTGCACCAGAGTTAGCTGAAGTCAGTAATTATCATGAACTGTAATGACAAAATAAAAGGTTTCCATATTCTTTGATATTCATTTACTTAAAAACAATTAGACATCACTGCATGAGTCATTTCTCAAGCTGTTGTGTGTTGATAATAACGCAATAATGCAAGTAAAAAATATTAAATAATGATTTGACATGTTGACTTCAATGCCAAATTGAAATTAAGAAATGAAACATGTTTTATTATGAAAAAATATCAAATTCACAAGCATAAAGGATAAAAAATATGTTTAAAAAAAGATTGCTAATGGTCCAGAGATTCGTATTTTAGATCATTCTCGATATTGAACATCCAGATATCAGACTTTGTACTGTATATATAATTTTAAATTTTGGAATAAATAAATATATTAACTTACATAAGTAAAATCAACAAAGTCACAAGTTACATCTTCAAAATTCATCGTACGAACAGTGTAGTTATTGCCTTCATTCTTGAAATGACACTAAAAATGAAAAAGTATGCATCAAATTTTTTTAACATACATAATCAATTGTTACTATTTAATACATTAATAAGAAGCATAATACATCAGTGAGAAGTATGACAGTTAAAAAATGTTGTCAGAACAGCAGTGGCTGTTGTTAGCAGACATTTAAAATTGATCTGAACACAACATTCACTTATATTTTTAAATAAAATCAAGAACATAACATGTTATTTGGTATATATTATGGCAATCATCTTGGCAGAAGTCACCAAATTTTCTCAGAATGTGCAAACTCTGACAACCATGCTCATAAATGTCTTTCAGTCAAGCAACATTACCATTTTCATATGCTTTCTTTGTGTTGTATTATTTTATAGACAAATCGTGATATTTTTTTGCCTTTAACTCAATCTTAAAATATTGTTTGCGAAATTTGCTAGCAATGGAAAAATCAGCGGTAAAAGTTCTGCAGGAATATTTTGCTAAACTGCTAAAAGGAACAATGATTAGATACAATTGGTAGATAGCCAGTGCAAAATGCCGAGTCTGTGGAATTCTCTGATGCTATTTAAAAAAAAAAAAAAAAAATACTAATATGATTTTAAAAAATACTAAAGAGTATATGGAGAGAAGAACAGCACCAAAAAATTGCATAACTTCATGAAAAATATCTTTCATTTTTTTAATGTCTGGTATAATCTTTATTTAATAATTAAAATTTGTACTATTAAAATTTTTTAAATATTTTGAGATTATTTGCTGACTTACGATAACTATCGATACTTTGAAAATATTTTTTTTTTAAATGTTGTGAAAATCACTAACTTGCATCTGATAAGTAATTTCTATCTTTTCATCTGTAAAAGATGCATCGTGCATTGCGCCAAGGTTACATTAATACATAGGTGCCAAAAAGGTTCAATAATTTAAATTGAGCATTATTTCTAACCAACAAACAGTAGAATATAATATATCTGGATATATTATTATAAGCACACATAAGATCCAAAAAGTCATTTCACATGTAATTTACTAATTACTATTATCACTAAAAAGCATCAGAAAGCTGCAGAGACTCATCTTCGTGAAACCCTTAGCAATATCAGCTATCTAGCAAAGGCATTTCATTGTTGTTCTCTTTAGAAAAATTTCAGAAAAATTCTCTACTCTGGCGGAAAATTTACTGTGATTTCTTCCATTGCTGGCAATTCCAAAAGCTCATATTTTAAAACTTAGTTTAAGAGGAAAAATATCACGATTTGTTTACAAAAATTGTTTGAACCTAGAATACAACAAAAAAGAGCACTGCTTGAATGAAGCATGAGTGGCAGAGTGAGGTGCATTCTGAAAAATTTGGCGACTTCTCCTAAGGTGGTTGCATTAATACGTAAGTACCTACAAATTATTCGGTGTCGCCACTATTGAGAAAGCATACATTTTCATCTTTCTATTTTTCATTCATGATATCTTAATAAATAATATTTAAATTTATGGCTACTGCAGGCAATATAAACTATGTTTTTACTGTTTTCCCACATTTTTCTCATACTGATCTCTTGTAATTGTAGCATATATATGCACTTCTCTTTTTACTACATTTCCCAATTTGGTATTGCACACAAAATTTTTATTTTTATTCTTCACCAGAAACTTGTGGAACAGAGAATGAAATACATTTGGTAGGCATATATTTACTTCAAAATTTTTTTAAAAAGTGCAGTAAAAATTTCTTATGGGAACTGTGCTTCCCTCAATTTCTTTGTATCCAAGCACTGACTGCAGCCATCCAAAGTATTATAAAGCATTAGCTATCTGATCTTCCAAGTTTTATTGAAGAGTTTCTACCTATTTAGCCAAGAACATCAATACCATACTTTGCGGACTTATAAAATGGTACATTTTAGGCAATTTCTTACTGTTATCTGTAACATCAAGAGTTTGAAAAAGAGTGCTTAGTACGAACACTATTTTGTTCTTCAACTGATAGATAGCAAATTACTATCATTGTGCTGGTAAGCATAAATTGAATAAAGCAGACAATTGGATCACTGAAGTCTCTTAGAATTTGTCAAATCTCGTTATTCTTATTATATCTTTGAATCTATCATGTGGCAGTATATCTTGAAAAAATGGAAATCGCATCACATCCTTTTTGCACAACATGCTCTCTGGGCACATAAATGAGCCAACAGGGCATCAAATTCATCTAGTAACATTGATCAGTAGTCATTCTAAAGTTGCCGATAAGATTCTATTTCAGGTCAGTAGTCATTCTAAAGTTGCCGATAAGATTCTATTTCAGTACATACTTTTATTATCTCATCAGTTTATCCACACATAACTACCACGAACTTGTAACTTTTTCATTTTTCACATTTCTGTTTCCGTATGGTATTATTAATCTAGATTTAGATAATATATTTAGACAATAAAAATGTTTGACTATTAATGCGCATATATGTTTCAATCTATATGTATGAAAATTTAGAGAATGTTTGAGCTATTGTTAGATACCAAGACTTAAAAGAGAAGGGCTTGTTTATAAACCTTTCCCCCCCCCCCGTAACAAGAAATGAGGAGTGATGACGTAGTCCTGCTGACACTGACTGCAAAGATGCAATTCACAGCAAAGGAATAAACATTTTAAATTTGAAAAAACAACCTTAAAAAAACTGTGCGTAAAAAATAGCTTAGAAGAGAAGATATTATTATTGTATGCACTTATAACATTTTAAAAGACAAAACTTATTTATTGATTTTAAAATAATAGATAAAACATGCTACATCTTCTTAAAAGTTAAAAGTTTTTTCCCTGTGCATTTATTATTAAATCAGGAAGATAAAAACTATAGCATTCAGTATCTTTTCTTCATCTGCATACTAAGGGGGAGAATTCTATTACTTTTTCTAAAGTAATAACAGCTTTTTAAAGTCAGGCAAAAAAAAAAAAAAAAAAAATTAGTTTGGCATAGTTTTGAATATATATGTCATTTTTTTTTTTTTTTTAATCTGCAGCTAAAGAAAATGAACTTATGTTTGACTGCCCTTGAAATTAATAGTTTTATTTAAAATTTAATCTCATCTAAGATTGCTCTTTTGACCTAATTATAAATTTTACACTGGCTTTAATTCCGATTTGACATAACAACAGATATTTTTTAAATAATTGTCTAACTTATACTCACATTTATACATGTACATTTCAATAAATACATGATTGTTGTCTTCAGTTTGACAAAACAACTTTGTTCACAGCATCTAAAGAGAATTACTTAATCTTTCAAAAGAGGGGCAAAAGAGGATGATCTTTTATGCGAAATTACTTTGATGTTTCATACAATTATAAATTACCTAAAATATTGAGCTAGCTTTTTTTTTTTTTTTTTTTTTTTTTTTTTTTTTTGCAAATTATCAATGCATTTTTGTTTATTTTTACAGTTAGGACATTCAGCAATATCTTTACATCACTTGTGAGTTTTATTTTAAAATCATCATATCTGATTTATTTCTCCTATCATAATTTTTGTAATCGGTCTCAAAACGAATTTTCTTCAAACTTAATCCATGTAATCTTTCAAAAGCAGTCTGCATTTTTTTTTTTTTTTTTTCTTTGAACAGAATTGGATTTTAACATTTCCTTTGTGGTAATCCAAGCAAGTGATTTTTCATGTCATTTTCACAACCCTTGCACGGAAAATGTTCGCTGCAAATTCTTGCGTTCTTCACATTAATAGAATCTTGTCTTCCACACATCTATCCTTTTTTTTTTTCACCAAAAGCAAATTGTCCTTTGGAAAAATATGAAATATGATATCCATATCTATCTCATTTCTAGCACTTTTCTACAACACAAATACATAAATGATACTTTAACCACAGTGGTCTCAAATTTACATTGCATACGGGCCAATGCACAATCTGAAAGTAGCTGACAGGCAGCAATTACAAAAAAAAGGGGGGGAGGGACTTTATATTAGATATTGTAGAAACATATGAATAAAAATAATGCAAGAAAAATATCAAATTTATACATATATTTTTGCTGAAAAGTTGGTATCTGCAAAAAATTTTTGTTGGTTACAATTTGAAATAAGACAGATAAATATTAAAATTTTCAGACTGGCATTTATTAAACTAATTGTAATATATTGAACTACTATGTAATTTACTTTTGATTTAAACTAAAAAGAAATATATGAAAACTTCCCAAGAGGGAGAAAACTTGACAATAAATAATGACAACTAATTCTCTTTCTTTTAATTATTAGATTTTTCTATGACGCAAAACAGAAAAAATAATATTTGTACGTAAATTAGTGTAAACATCTTTGTTTTTTACTACACTTTTCAACATCTCATAATGTTCCAATTTTCATGACGTTTGTAATCTTGGAGGGAAATTACTAAAAAGTATCATCACAAATTGCAGATATTCATCAGAAGTCTGGTTCTTTTCACAGACTTATTATTTTTCAACTATGAAAAACTGTTCTCATGTAAATGTACTCAAAAACAAAGGGAGTATTCTTATTGTGAAAATTTTAAGTTAAAATATTTAACTTAAAAAGTACTAATAAAAGTTAATCAAATTTGTAGCTAAAAAAATCTTTGAACAAGGTTTATATCATAGAATAAATTACTTAGCTATATTTTCCGAGGAGTTACTTTCATTTTTGGTAATGAAAATAACTTAAAATTGGACTGCAAGCCATTAAAATCTTAAAACATTTTTTCAAATTCTTATCATAATAATTTCACAGGCATCATCAAATTACTTTGAGGGCTGTGTTTGAGCTTGCCACTGCTTTACTAGCAAACAATATATGTGATAAAAATTAATTTGTGATGTCCACATTGCTGGAACATCGTTTTACAGCAGAATGCAACTACAGTCTTAAACAGGCGAAGTCAGAGCAGATGGAACATAGCGACATCAGTCTACTTCCTGTTAACTCCCCTTATGAGGATCGTGTCAGCAAAGACTCAAACAATAGAATGGGCTAGCCCTTTTCGTTAACTCTAGGTAGGTATATATGTTCATATTCTGCCATTTCTTGCAACTTCTTCCTTCTTCGAAAATGTCTCATTAGAACTATTTTGAAATGTCAAATTCCTTTCAGCTGTTTTCTATTTTTGTTTATTCTGTGTACACTTGCAAGTTTATGTTTTAGCAAGTTTCTTAATAAAACCAATGTTTATATTTGTTATGTTTTTCATTTCCTAAACCATTCAAATCATTACATTTTCATTTTTTGAACAATAATCTATATATTTTCTCAAAACAGTAAAATCAAAATAACTTTAACTTTTCGAGCGTACAGAAGTGCTTGACAAACAATTTAAAGCCTGTAACACATTATTAAATTTGAAGTGCACTTTAATTTCTTTCTTTCATCTAACATTAAATCAAAACTTAGAAATCAGAAATAGATGAAAAAAACTGCACAAGCAATTATAGAGCTGTAAATTGTTTATTCATATTATTTATATAGCAAAGGTATGCAATGTTTTTAATTTAGTTATGCATGTTTATAGGTAATTCTGGTTTATTTGAATTATAAATATATATTTTGATAAAATTGGTAAGAACAGAAGAAGGGTGAGCAATTTATCTGAAAAAAAAATAATAAGTCACAACATCATTTTATTATTCATATAAGGAAAAATATAAGCTTGATTTGTAAAGTTTCATTTTGAGAAAGCAAATTAAAGACTTAACTGTATTCATAAACAACCAATTTAGTTACAGATGTGCAAGCCCTGAATGTACAAAAAAAAAAAAAAAAAATAGGAAAATATTTTTTTTTTTTCTTTTTACCTTTCCCAAAGTTCTGTGAAAAAGAAGGGTATGAAAAATAGATGATACTATTTCCTGAACCTGACGTCCTTCCACAGACTAGAGGGAAAACCAAATTTATTATTATATAAAAATAGCAAATATTTCACAATGATTATTATTATAACTATTAATTATTTCTATGAAAGTGTTACAAAATTTTACACAAACATTTCATAGCATTATTTTTAGGCATTTTATTCCTAAAATTGAGATCACTGCATTCTTATTTAATAACGCATTTCAAAATAAATGAAAAAGTTACATCTACAAAAATTATTTAAATTTACTTTTTTACTATTATTTTATGCATTAACTATACATTAAGAATAGCAACTGCATTCACCATATTGTTGCATACGTATGGGTTCATAATGGAATGAATGCACAAGTCCGATAATAGGTTAATAAAATTTATTTTTATCACAACCAATATTTCAGAACTGGAATTTGGTGACTTTTGGTGATTTCTCGCCAAATTTGGAGATTTAACTGGTCGCCAAAAACTGTTGTCAGCTTGCCGACATCTCGCCAAATTATCGAGATACACATTTACTCAATGTTAAATGCACTTGCCCCTGAATTCTTACTTTTCCAGCATAGCTTTCTCTTAAAATTTATCTTGAGCTACATTACACAGAAAAATACAACATTTACTTAATTCTACTAAAATTATCTAAGTACAAAATTCGTAACAATATATGCATTGACTACAATTACCAAGAAATAGCTTTCATACACCTTATTTGTGGCGTATAAGACACACAGGCAATAAGATGCACCCCCTTTTTTATATACATTTTTGAAGGATAAAACTTTATTACTGATCATTATAATGAACTTACAGTATTTTAAATATAAAGTAATACAAATACAAAGTAATACATTCTGAAAATACCCAATCTATCTGGGAAAGAACACCTTTTAATCTTCTTTGTCAAAACCCACACACTCATTGAGCTAAATAAAGAGTCACTTGAAACCTTTGAGCTAAATAAAGAGTCACTAAATCAGCATTTGAGCCCTCATACAACAAACTCCATCCAGTGCATTACTAATGCCAAAATGATTTAACTACTGTCTCTGTTTTCACAGCATCCCATGAAGCTTTGATACATTCACAAACTTGCAAAATACCAGGCCTCTTCCTTCTTCCTGATGGTGTAACCTCGAAATTTGAAGACTGCATACAGTTGTTCCACTTCTGCTTCATAAATCCCTTAAATGAGTTATTAATGCAGACATTTAAAGGTTGAAGCTGACTAGTTGGGCCTCCTTAAATTACAGCTGAGTTTTCAATTCTTTATTTTTAACATCTTCTGTTCTGCAAGAATGAAATAGATCCCATAGAGCAGGTTTCTTCAACATTCTGCCAGGGCACCTCGACTAAATTTTATCTATCCATAACTTCATTACTCCTCCATACATCCAGCCTTTTGCATGAATATGTTTAAACACTCCTTTAGGCACTTTTTCTTTAGTAGTGTCTTCCTTTTAAAAATCAACAGTGAGGGATATTTTGTCCCATCAGCACAGCAGGATAAAACACCTGTGAGTGAGGTTTTCGTGCCCTGAAGCTTTAACAGTAACATTTTTGTACCTTTGGAATCTACTGTTTTGTTTGAAGGCACACCAAAAGTCAGAGAAACCTCATCCGTGTTTCCTATTTGAGCACGTACAAAATTTTCTAATTTTCTTGCATTAATGATGAATCAATAAAATTCAATAATTTTTTCTCCATATTTGTCAGGCATCTTTTGCAATATTTTTGTTTTAGTTCACATACATAGTTTTAATAAAACATAATAATCATTTTTGTAGAGGCTGAAAGTCCCACTTTTCTGTCATCTAAAATCAAAGTATTCAGCTCTGTCTCAAGTTCATCCAATTGTGCAGTTAGTAGGTTATGTTTACTGTGAGTTGTTTTTTTAGATCCTCTTCTTGATTCTGCCAAGTTCTTATTTTCTCAGTTGGGGATGGCTTGAAATGTATCTCTACAGCTATTTCCATGTTCATTAGCATATACAATCACACGTAGCTTGTATGCTATGTTATAGCAATGCCAGTATAGTTTTTGAGCCATAACTTGCCAACAAATTTAAGAAAATTGAACAGGAGAAATTTCATACATTTAAAAGATGTTCATGGAAAGTTTAAACAAACTCAGCTATGATCGTCAATGACAGTGCATGCACATTCACTGAACTCTACATAACTGTAATATTCCCACACCCACAAGGAGGGGGGAGGAATTGATAACTCTGAATAGGGGAAATTTCCAGAGAAATTAATGTAATAAAAACTCAGTATCAATGCATAAGATGCATTGTTGACATATAAGATGCACCCCGTTTTTCAGACCTATTTTCAAAGGAAAAAAAAAGTGCATCTTATACACCAGCAAATATGGTACTTTTTTTAATTGATATATACAGTACTTCATGTATTTTTCCTTCTTTTTAACTAATTTTATGGTTCAAAAATAAAAAGGGAAATCAATGCCAATACAGGCAGTTCTTGATTTTTACATATGGTTGGTTCCTAAAAATGTGTGCAAAAGTTTAATGTTCGAAAGAAAAAGGATATTAAAAAAAAAAACTGAATAGTATTTTAAGATGCTAATATGATGAAGATGAAGTACTAATTTATCAAAAATGTTATTTATTTATCAATATTCATAATTAAGTTAACAAGGTGCATTTAAGTACTTTCAAATCTTTTCTTTATAAACCTGCCAAGAGTTAGTTGAATACTACCCATTAGCATTTCCTTCCTCACTTTCACTGTGTATTTCATTTAACTCTTATTGCTGAATTAAATATTCATTTGACAGAGGTACTCAGATTCAGTGAACTCATTAACTTCTTTGTTGTTGACATCAAAGTTCAGTTCATTCATTAGGGTAACTATTTTATCTGTCATAGTTCCACAGTTTCTTCAGAATTTATAAAATCGCTCACCATTTCTGGGCATAATTGTTTTCAGGAACCTTTCATTGTTGACTCAGCCCTGGAGTCAACAATATTGTTTGTTGCAATCCATATATTATAGTCTTCCACAAATCTCTTAATGTAGGCCCACCTTCCCTGCCAGCTGCCTTGATAGACTGATTAGTGTCATGCAATGCCATTTAAAAATATCTATCACTATTTGATCCATAGCTGTATAAGGCAGGTACTACAGGGAAGGAAAAACAAAAGGTATAACAGAGATTTTGAGTGTCTTGGAACATTGTCTAAGATTAATGATACTTTAAATTGTAAATTTTTATCTTCAAAATACTGTTTAAATTGCTCATACTTGATGAAATGTGAACTAATCTTTAAATTATTAATATAGTAACTAGTTTGGCAGCTTGTCTTCCTACTCTCTGGAGGCTTAATGGTGGTTGGGTCTCGAGTCTGAGAACTCTGTTGATGCACCACTCTCATCAATGTCAGAGTGACTGCATGGAAGTGAACAATTCCCGTAATATGGATAAAAATCTTTAAAAGTTTTAATCTGAAAAATTTTTGATTTAATGAATTGGGTGAAAGTTTTTCTAAAGCATGTAGTTACACATGCTTCTAGTTTTTCTAAAGCATGTAGTTTTTCTAAAGCATGTAGTTTTCTAAAGCATGTAGTAAGAACATAAGAAATTAAAAATAGTCATGAATAAACTCTAAATAACTATCATATTATTATTTCTTTAAAAAAACTATTTTTAGTAAGTATAGTACGATATCCAATAAGATATCTTCATTTCTACATCTCAGCAACTTGAATCTCATACGTTCTCATTGTTATCTCTCTTACGCCTTAGGCCTCAAATCATCCATAAAAAATTAGATAAGGTGAATGTGAAAACTGGTTCAACAAAATCGTAAGCTGAATGTGAATTTGCATTTGCTTCACTGTGATAACGTTCAACAGTTAGAAGGGAAAGTTTGGTGTGACTTTTGTAAGGAGTTTGTGGGGATTTGTCTTTCTTAGTAAGATGAAAAAATCACTATGGATGAATTTGTTTTAAAATTTGGGGAAGCTTGTTCTTTAAAGACACTGAGGGGAAAATCACGTAAACATTTTTTTAATTTTCAGAACCTGTGCTAAAATGCGGAGGAGAGACACACGAGGAAATAGAATACAATTTATCATGAGGAAATTAATACAACTTATCAATGAGGAAATACAATACAATTTATCAATGACACAACCAAGAAAATATAGATAAGAAAAATAAATGCTATTTAATTAAATTTTGAATATATATATAAATAAAAAATTTTCTCTCATTACATTTAGATAAAATTTTTAAAAAATAATATTTCAGGATAGTTCAAATTTAAACATAATTTGCTATTATGTGCTTCCAAAAAATTATCCCAAATTTCTCTGTGATGAAAATATTGTAATTTTCATCACAGAGAGGGGCTTAAAGTCTAATATAAAATGATTGGTTTCATTTACATTTGATAAGAACTTTCCCGCAAATAATTGGTAAAAATCCTTGCAATATACTTGGTAAGACCCGCCTAACGCTAGAGGGCGCTGAGAGCGCCATTGAGTGCATGCTGAGACTTGAAGGAAATTATTCAATGGATGATGTGCGATTTCTGAGATGAGATATTATTATATTTAATTAAATCAATTTATATTTTATTGATTAGTAATTATTGATTTTGATTTATTGATATGAGATGTGATATTATGTTTTGCTGAACCACCACACTTTCGACAAACTTGGATTACCACTGAATCTCAAAACCACCGATGCGCAATACTATTCATATCTTAATGTTGCATGCTATGTATTTCTAGAGACTTTCTTAATTACACCTAATGAACAACAAGAAACTGAAATTTTATCGAAAATAACTACTCATTTAGCAAAATAAGAAGCTATGAAACAGTCCAAGGTAAAAAACAGAGATAAGGCTAATTCACCTTTAAACTTGATAAATATATCACCAGAAGTACTGGCAGAGTAAGTCCTAAAGCACTAAGCAGGAGCTCAATACAGTCACAAGATTCTCAACTCAATGCCAATCATAGCCTCCTACTTAAGGACTTCTTCTGGAAGCTTTAAGAAAAATTGGTTCTAAATGTTCAAAAATGCATTTTTTAAAACTTCCAGAATGTTTTTAGGTTGGCAAGA